GAAAAAACACAATCACATGCATATAATCTTCAAAACATGAACACGTATTACTATACATTAAAAAACACATAACTATATGTTACTACACGTGACTAGTTATATACAATTATCAATAGTTATATAAGGGCTCGTTCGGTTACCTATATTGCATTAGATTTGATTACATGAGATTCGATTAACTCTCTACTGACTAATTAATTATTTAGTTAGTAGCATGTTCGATTTCTTAGATTAGATATTCTATTAAATTTGTTAAAATCAGTTATCATATATGAATTGTCTATAAAACCACTTAGTTTACAATAATAAAATATAATTTTAAGGATAAAATTGTATTTTTCCTTTTTAGTCACCCCATATTAAATTAATCTTAGGGGGAGAGGTGCTACTAATTTAATGAAATAGTAGCATTTAATAGCGGGCTTTGATTATAGTAGCGGGCTTTGAAAAAGTGTGAATCTTACCAACCGGACATGTTATTAGCCTCTACTATTTAGTCAGTAGCACCTTATAGCGGTAACCAAACGACCCCTAAGTGGCATAAGTCTGGAGTATTATAACATGAATGCAACTTCACATGGAACTTCTCTGCATCTTATTCTTTGCATCTCATAATGTTATACAAAGCAAAACCTGGGACAAAAAAATACAAGTTAAAGAAAACGAAGAACAAAATGGAACAAGCGAATTACATTACATGAAAAAATACAAAAAAAACAATGAAAGACATTTTTTTGATAAATTTACTTTGGTGTGAACTATAATCACAAGTAGTTATGTGTTTTTTTGCTACTGCATATGACTAGATATGACTATATGTAGTCAACTATAGTCACATGTAGTTATGTTCATTCTTGTTACTACATGTGACTATATATGACTACACGTACTTGACCACACGTGACTATATATGTATATAAAGAAAATTCATCTACACCACCAAAAAGTTCACAATTGAATCTATATAAGATGATGAATAGAACAATGTGGTTGAAAAAAAAAATATTTACATACTGTAGTGAAATTCTATCATAGAAAGTCATTTGATTTGTTGTATGTTCTTGAAACTGAATGAATGATATGACAAATAAAATCAGATAATAAAAAGCGAGAATCAATGAAGTATGTATACATACAATTTAGAATTGTAGATATGTACATGTAGAGTAGAATTTTAATTAAAAGAAAAAGAAAACATAGCAGAATCTTATATATAACTATAAATAACGTTTTTTATTACAAATATCGATTGAAAAAACACAATCATGTGCATATGTTACTATATATTACTATATGTTATTACATGTAACTATGGTTATGTATAGTAATGTGAAGTAGTATAATCATCCTCTATTTATCTTAGCTTGGTGCCCATCTTTATGTAATTCCACAAGGCCAATATATCGTCGGCAACACCACACAAATTCATCAAACAAAACAATTCATCAAGCAATAATTCATTTTATTTCTGGAAAAAAAATACCTAAACAATTGGGTAAATCATCAATTCTAATTTTTTTTTCACATAGTTCGAATTTAATACAAGTGCCCAACATCAATCCATGAAACAAACAAAAATTACAACAAATTACCTCATATTTTTCAAGGAATCGAGTTCCAATCTTACCAAGCCAGAAACTCGTGCGGCGGAATACGGATTTCGTTCGTCGATTGCGGCCGAAATACGAATCCTGTTCTCCGGCAATACAAATCATCGTCGAAATATGGATCCCGTGCAGCAACGGAGGGAGCAGCGGTTCCGTTCTCAGCGTCGCGTCGGGAAGAGCGGCAGCCGGCGGCGGCGGCAGGGGGAGCAGTAGCGGCGGGCGACGGCGAAGGGAGCAGCGGCAGCGGGCGGCGGTGGGGGAGCAGCAACGGCGGACGGTGCAAGTTGGGAGAGGAGCAGAGGTGGGTCGCATGGCTTTGGATAGAGAGAGAAGAAGAGAAAGAGGGGGAGAGATGTAATGTGGATAGAGAGAGAGTTAGAGAGAGAAGAAGAGAAAGAGGGAGAGATGTAACGGCTGAATGAGTGGAGAAAAACTAGGGTTTTAAATTGTAACTAAAAGGGAAAAACGGGTATTTTAATTGGTCTAGGGGGGTGTCACTAATTAAGATTAGAATTTGAGTTTTTGACTAGGAAAGAAAAATCCGTATGACCTATCCCTATATATTTTAAAAACTAGAGGGTATCCCACATTTCCACTAAAAGAAATTCATTTTTGGTGATATTTTTAGGATGGGAACAAAATTGCAAAATTTAATAAGTATAAGAAAATTATAACTAAATTTCAGCATATAATTTTTTCAGAAAATTTGGGTGATATTTTAGGTTGTGGAAATTGAAATTAGGCATGAAACATGAAAAAGATGGGAATAAATTAAGTACAAGAATGAAAGAAATATGAACAACTTTTATACACAAGACCAAATGGGTATTTTCGTCCGAAATTGTCCAACATCTAATGCAATGGTCGGTCAACTTTGAAAAATAACGGATGTTTTAATATGTCTTAACGGTAGGGGCCACTTTGTTGCATTTTGCAGTACATGAGTATTTGCGACACTGATAATTGTAAAAGGGTGCAATTTGTACTTAAACCTTATTTTTTTGAGATGTTCTATCTCAAATGATTTTTCCAAATGAGGGGTCGCTAATTTTCTCAAATAATAAAGATAGTTGGTAAGGGTTTCCTCATAAAAATCCCTTTATGGTGCATTTGGATGGAGGGATTTCAAATCCAAATAACAAATCCATCGGACTTGTTTGGATTGAGGGATTTGGAGATGGATTTCAAATCCCAACTCCTCCTTTTTAGTTGATTTTGGAGCAATAGTGATGGATTTCAAATGACTCCAAAATTGAAGTCATTTCAAATCCATTCCCCAAATTAAATCCCTCCCCAAATTCCTCCATCCAAATGGACCCTTAAATTATATCATAAGAGATATTTTAGAAAAATAAAATATGAGAATGGATTTATTTGCGAAATTGTTTCCGTTTTAACCTATGTGCATTTAAGTTCTCATTCTTGGGTTATATGCAATTCACCCTAGTTTTAATCACTAATTTGAAAGAACTACTAGGGGAACTCATAAAAAAACAAAAAAAAAAAAAAACAAAAAAAACAAAACAAAAACGACGACAAGTGAATCAAAACTTCAGAATAAAATAAAACTTCTCGAAAAAACGACTGGTGCAAAATGATTATATTTTTATTAAACAAAATAAGACAAGGACTCCCCCCTCGTGAAACAACGTTACTACTTACTACAATTACTTTTGAGTATTATTGATTGAATCAAAAAATTGCATCAATGTAGAACGACAACAAATTTCAAGGAATTTAATACTACTCGACCTCGTTGATTGGTAGTAAAACTAGTCACAATTAATTAAATAGTTGGATTGATGTTTGGTTGGTCTAATAGTTTTTCGGGTTGGCACGCAATAGTGAAAAATGACTACAATCTTGACTAATCGGATGATTATTTAATGGATCTTCCATGTTCGAATAATATAATAAATTATTTAATTTTATCTCCACTATTTATCTTAAAAACCAAATTAGCATTAGAAAAATTGTAGCTCGACCATTCTTAAATCCAGACAAAAATATGCATCAAAGTTTCCAACATGCTGTTTCGACCTAAAAGTTCTATTTCAATAAATTCTCAGCAATAACCGAACACATAAAATAAGTTGAGAAAAGGGTTTTCAATATATGGTTTCCAAAATGTTAATTATTAATTAGGGAGGTGCTAATACGTATTGCATGTCGATCGAATAAGTCGAAGATACATAATATAATTCTAAAAGCTATTAAAATAACAAAGCAAAGCTTAAAACTCTTTCCATTGAATCAACAAACCTCCCATAAAATAACGATTTCAAGATTTCGAGTTTGATCAAGTTACTAAATCTTACAATCCCGAGGAAAGATGGAATACATACCTCGGTACAATATGACAGACCTAACTTTAGGCACTCGACATTGCAAAGCCTAGCAACAAATGTATTTTTTTTTTTTTGGCCATTGAGCTCAGATGTCGTCCAATCAATAAATTGAGCTACGTGATCAACGAATATCATGTATACTCGACGTTAGGTCACTAAAAAATTATTGAATTCTAAATATACGAAATAGAAAAGATAAAATTTATACTTAATAGTATAACAACGACTACATAAGGTTTCAAGATTATCAGCTGTTTCAAAAAACTTTGAGAGAAAACAACAATCAACAATCAATTCGCGATTGATTAATTTACATCATTGTAGAAATGGAAAACGAGCTCATGAAAGATGGAATGCGTACCTGTGTGCAATTTGATAAATCTAGTTTTAGGAACTTGATGTTGCAAAGTCTACCAATAAATTTCAGCACCGATCGAGAATAAATAAAAATGTCTTGTTCACCGTCACTTAAAATATCGATATCGAAGTGTTGGGGTATTTACTCGAGATGGATACATCGAGCCTTTTGATTGTGGGCGGAGTTACTTTAATTTACAAACAACAAAATTATAGTAACGTTATTGCATAGTGATGATATCAGAAGAACTCAAATAAATCGAAGATGGTAATAACGAAATTACTGAAATGCTTAATAAAAAGAAGCCACACCCAGACTTCAAGAAAACGAATATTCAAAATCAAAGATTTTTTGAAATCTCTCTTATGTTTGGTTCCTATGAAACCAGTGATGAAAATAATGTGTGAAATCTCTTTCCTTAATTTTGTTTCATAGTTATAAAAGAAAATAGTAGAATGAAGATGACAATAAATTCATGGACAACAACTAAGTAACACAGCAGCTATCTGAACTCAATTTCATGTCAATTTCCATAGCATAAGTTTATAGGTAATGATTTATAGCGACTTTTATAGGCGATGTACATAAAAATTAAAATAGATCAATGCCGAAATCCTGGACAACGCAAACCCCAGAACGATTGATGCGTATTCAAGGAAAAATGCAATCAAAATTAATACTTCAACAAAGAAATGAAGACTTGTGCCTAAAGTGGAAATAACAACGTAACTAGTAGTATAGGAGCTCTTCATAGACAATCTTCTTGACAAAAACATACTCATCTTTCTTCCCGCAATTACAAAAACTATATGTTTGTTTTATCACATTGCAGTTACAAAAAAACTGAAGTAAAGATGAGAGTTTTGTAGGTCATAACAAAACAGAGATAAGTGCGTAAAGCAATTATGAAGAAAAAGTGCGTCAAGGTACTTTCAGGCAGCACCAAAGGCAACTTTACATGCTCTGGATCCGCGTTGAAAAAGTGAGATCTTCTTTAGCATATTATTTTCTTCGTTGGAACTAAGGGAACCGGGATATAATATTTCCATCCTCTCCAAGACATTAGCATTCCTCAATAGATATTTTATAATTTCAAGCTCGTGCTTTTTACCTTTGATGTTAACAATATTTATAATTTTAAGATGTGATAATAGGCATGTCGGCACGTTTTGTAGTGGTTCCATCCAACCTTCTATTTCTTCGCACAACTGTAGACAGCAACAACCAAAAAAAAAAAAAAAACGAGGCTTTAAATATTGTAAGACGGTATACAAGACATGAACGAGGAAACCTACAAAATTTGTATATTGCATTAACAAACCTCAGATAAAATGAGGAATTCAAGATTTTCGGTATTTTTTAGGAACATTGAGATAAAACGAATATCGGCAGTCAATTGGAGTCTGGTTAACTTAGGAAAACTTGTAGTCCAAGCATAGACTACCGAGTCAATAATCTGTAAGAAAAAGTATAAGATTATGATTAACAAAAGAAATGGAGAATGATGAGGTGATTAAAGATCGAAAGCATACCTTTGGACAATACGATAAAACTAATTTTAGGCACTTGACATTGCGAAACTGATCAATGAGTTCTAGCAGAGATCGAGAATAAAGAAAATAGTCCGGTTTGTTATCGTCATTGATAAGATTGATATCTGCTTTAGTTAAGGAGTTTAGCGCCCCACATTTAATATGCTCAGAGAAAGAATCACTTATCTTGAGATATTTAAGTGCAGGGGTATTTATCTCCAACCTGGTGCCATCGGATTTAAAATCGAGCATGAGCCTTTTAATTGTAGGTGAAGATACATTACAACAAACCATAGCATGTGATAATTTGATAGACAACTCCAGAAGCACCGGACAGCCGGAAATAAGGTGCGTAAGGGACTCATCTGCCTCGAAACGAATGTAAATTAGATGAAGCTTCTTGAGGTGAGGCAAACACACGGCGCCGTGTACGGCGGGGATAACACCGCAAGAGCGGAGCCTCATAGCAACAAGTGTTTTGCAGGTGAAGAGGCATCGAGGCAGAAAGCCTCGAACATCTTCTTTAGAATGAAAACAAAGATCGAGCCTCTGCACGTTACGTGCAACGGCAAAAGTAAGCCATGTCCGCAGTTGATAGTCGCTGCATTCAATATGAAAGAGGCGGAATATATCGATGGTTTGCACTTTGTGGAGCAGCATAACACTGTTGATGATTTCTTGATTCTCGTTGTGGAAGAGTAGATTGGGGACGTAGGACCAGAGATGCATCCATCTTCTAGATAGAATACTGGTTCTTACGGAGCATTTGGTCCGGAGAAAAGAGAGGATGTGACAAATCACTGATTCCGGCAAATCGCTGATTCTATCAATCGACTGCGAATGCTTCACCCGCTTTCTACTCTGCTCTTCTGTTATCGCCGCCGCCATGAAGTAAAATGGGAAAACAAACAATGATTTCAGGACTCGATTAGCAAAAGTAATTCAGACGGCGAAGGAATTCGGAAATAAATGTTTGATTCTCGCTCTTTGTCTATTAGGTCAGAAGATGGATTTTTCCCCAAATTTTGTTTGGGCTTGTACACTGGCGAGTCCAGGAATTCGATACAGGGTGGGCTTCAATTTCCGGGATTCTGGGGCGCAGCGCCCCCGAGATTTTTTTGGATTTTTGAAAATAGTAAAAGGAGAAACGAAAAAAAAAAAGGAAGGAAAAAAAAACAAATTTTAGAGTTTTTTTGTATTAATTTGGATTTTTTGTGGGCTAATTAATAAAATTTGGGACCTTTTTTGCATTAATTTGAATTTTGGGTGGGCTAATTAATAAAATATAGGGCTTCTTTTGCATTAATTGAAATTTTGGATGGTCTAATTAATAAAATTTGGGTGGGCTAAATAAAAATATAGTATAATATAGGGGGGAAATTGCAAAATGAGGGTGGGCTTGAGTCCACCCTTGCCTAAGGGTGAACTCGCCGCTGGGTAGTCTAGGGGCAGTGATTGAGGGTTTTTTCTACCCAAATACTTTTAGCATTTTTTTCTATTAGCATCTCCGATCGGTCACTATATCGCCATTTTTTAATCTAATTTGGTGTTTTTAGTCTTCCACCCAAAATTTCTATATCACCATTACACCTAAAATGATGAAGATTTGGTATTTAGCTTTCACTGTGGTCAACCCCATATTATTATATTTCCAAATCTCTTTTTTCCACCAAATTTTTCGGTGAAGAAATTTTCATCACCCACCAATCCATCATTTTTCTATTTTTTTTCCACCAAATCCTATTTTCCTACCAAATGTAGAGGTGAAAATAGGATTTGATGTAATTAACACCATTTTATTAATTAGCATATAGATGATGATTTTACTAATTACACCTGATTACCGATTTATTAGCATATTTATTGTAAATACATTAGTGTTAATTACTAAATTAGTTTCTAAAATATAAATACATATTTTGTTATTAATAAAAACATTAATTTTAATGACGAAATTAAGAAGATTATTTTGAATTTGACACCACATGGATGAACGTGTAGAAAGATTCATAGTTGGGGGTGGTTTTAATTACCCAAACATAAGGGGAGTTTCGTAATTTAACTTACCTTAGAGGGTGGAAGCAATTTACACCGAGTAACATGATTTCAATTATCTTATATCATGTGCTCATGTTGCATATTTGGGATTATGTCTAGTACATGCTCTTATCCATATTTTTATGAGAATATGTTATCTAAATTAGTTATTATGTTATTTGATGTTGTTTGTGTTGGGTTTCAGGCACGTGCCATCGAAAAATTGAAAAAAAATTGTAGAAACAATTTTATACAAACATACAAACGTGTATATTAATCAATTAATTGCAAACATACCTTGTGTCTTCTAATCACCAATGTACATGTTTGCTTATATTTAATTAAAATTTAAATACAATTAACTAGCATACTCGATAAAATGAAATAAATTATGCATAATCATATTTCGATTCAACACTTAATAATAACATGCTTATCAGGTCCGGCTCTGGAGTGGGGGCGATCAGCGCCCAATTTACTAAGGGGCCCAGTTTTACATTTTTTATATATACATTATATATTTTTATTCAAAAACAAATTTAAAAAAGTTATTCTTCTATACTTTTGTAATAAAAAAAGTTTATTATTAGTATTATTATTATTATTATTATTATTATTATTATTATTATTATTATTATTATTATTATTATTATTATTATTATTATTATTAAAAGTTTAGTTTAAAATAGATGTAAAATTTAATATTTTTTTAATCATGTATTACACATTACTCTAACATTTGCTTCACGTGATTTCTTTTTTAATCTAGATATACATTAATGTTTTCAATATTCTATTTACCAGATTTTTATTAATAAATTACTTTTTTATATTATGTTAAGCATAACATGCAAAAAAAAAAAATACAACTTAAGAAAAACAATAGAAAATGAACCAACTGGCGACAAAAGCGATGGTGGGTGGTGGTGGCGGTGCCTGATATAGGGAGACAGTGGTGGCGGCTCGGCTAGGGCAGGGGCGTACATCCAAGAGAGAGGGGAGAGCGACTAGTGTTGGTTCATGTTCACAAGACTCTATTTAATCACTATTTATGGAGTCCTGTAGTTAATTACTATCTATAGTAACCTGTTCGTTTCTCGCAAACTAATTATCAAAAAAAAAAAAAAAACTATATTTTTGTAATCATTGTAACGTCCTTGTGAAGACGAGTGCCGGTTCACAATTTTCAATTTCCAAATTCAGAAACCGTAATCCAATGGACTCGCCAACTCATTTATTCTGATTCGTAATCAACAATTACGAAATTTGGATACAATCACATTGACTTCCAATTATGCAAATGTCAACAAATTAATCTCAGCCCGTTGTATTCGAGGATTTCATGTACCTGAGAAGTGTGACCCTCGATGGTTCAGATGTAAGCTAGCCGTGGGACCACAATTCATTGTAATTCAAACTCGTCCCTAGGGTATAATTAAGATGAAACTAATTTCAGCTTAATTGGCCAACAAATCAAGATTGGCGCCTAGCAACTACGCATCATGATTTTCTATATACAAATGAAGTGCTTGCAAGAACCGTATGATACAATTAACGCACAGTACGATCCATTTGATTCATATATCCCGATTGAACTAGAGATATTGGTTCACCGAGACCTCTACTTCAATGTGTGAACGTTCTTAGTAATATAATTTATTTGTATATGACTCAGAGACACATATTTACCTAATCATCATGCAATCAGCTCTGGACATAGACTCTGTTGATTATAAATTATCATAACACACAAGACATACATGACTTATCATGCGATCGAATTCCCTACTAGAATGCACATACTTCACACTAGATTTCGATAGGCCCTTGGAGCGGTCTTCCGTGAGACTCAAGGACAAGTCACGATACAGCTGGTCCTCTAGTGAAGTCAGAGTGATGTATGGTCTTAAGGATTAATGGTGTACAACTATATTATAAAAACATCTAGTCGATAATGGAAGCCACTTAGAGATTTTCAGGATGAGAGAGTTCAGTGAACTCATCTATATTAGCACCGCACCCACTTATGTATGTCGATTACTGATGACTATGAGACACAGTACACATACACTAAGTGCTAGTCTCAAAATGAAAAAGACCGGTATCCTCATTAATGGCGTAAGCCGTTGACTAGGAACTGGTTTAACAGTTATATTACTCTTATTAAATTATCTCATAATTCAACTAGATCAATCAATAGTAATAGAATAACTGTAAGGACTATATCTACGCACATGCAATGGACAATATAGAATGTCAAAAAATGTTTGTTTGTTTGGTTTTTTTTTTTAATCATTAATACGAATATTGATTGTCATTGTAAAAAGTACGGAAAGACCACAACCACAAACTGGTTTGTTGGTCCACCTACTCTAACAACTTTCTTGTTGAGTTTTATCTAGTACCTGAAGTACTGGATATATGTGATTACATTTATGTAACTCTCTAGAATGACATGTGGGAATAAATGTCTCGCGGATAGTGTAACTACACATACTATAAGATAAGTCACACTTTATCAATTTTTTGTCTAGTAGTAGTAAGACCTCTTTGTCAATTATATGAGACACATGTAGATAGATGGTTATGTTAATGTCCACATTATGTTATCTTATGGCACAATTTTTGCCATTAAAGTAGATAGCTTTTTATTCTCTACGTTCTAGTAGAACGTTGTTGAATTTTAATGATGTTTGAGCTAATGGTTATTATGTTGAAACCATTGAAAAAAAGATAATCGAATATATGTGCATCACCTCTAAAGAGTACGGTCAGAAGCATATGAAAAATTAGAGGAATTTTCGACACAGTTATATAGCATAACAATTTGAGTGCCAGAAACATTATTTGTCGATTGCTAGGAATCAAGTAACTTGATCATATAACAGCATATGCACATACATGTAATGATTCAATTCATTTCTTGGAGGTAATCAAAGGAGATAAATGTACATGTGGACTATGTATCACCATCTATAACTTATATTTATAACCTTAGACAGACGATCTCTTTACCGCTCAAATTGCGGACTATTACTTTGATGAGGCTGTCTTTCCGCAGTTAGGGGGGTGAAAGAATGTCCAAAATAACGTTCCTGGAAAACGGCGTGAAGTTGGGCGGGATGACCACACCGTGTCTCATCAAGATCCCCTATATAGATTAATAGATTATCCACACTAACGTTCCTGAAGAACGGCGTGAAGTCGTGTGGGACGAGTAATAGATTTGCAAAGAACACACCAATGCTATTGAAGAACGACGTGAAGTCGTGTGTGACGAATAAAGTCAGACTCATTCTCCGATTTGAAAAAGCGACGAGATCTCAAATAAGCCTGCAAGGATAGATGTCCTAGAAGGACAAAATGGGGGTAGACCATCAATTCCTGCTAACTAATTTTGTCTCCTTGCTTAGAAGAGGAGGAGAAAACTTGGATAAATGATTCTCATCTGTGAAAGCAGATGAATGACTAATAATCGAATATTTTTAACACTAGTACCAATGGGATCTCAGCTGATCCATCTCGTAAAATAATTTCAAAATATGGATTCGTCCTGGAGACAAAGTCGAAGGACACTTCGACATCAATATTTATTCCCGAGAATAGAAAAATCTCGGTTAGTTATTCATGCATGAACGAGATTGAGGTTAAAAATCTCGGTTGAAAAAAAAAATTGAAAAAAAAAAGTTTTGGGTCAAAATTGATTAATCTGTGAAATTTGGGGTCAAATTGAGGTTAAATAAAGTTAATGATGAAATTGGAGCATATTAAAGTATGAGGGGTTATTTTAGTCCTTTCCAAAATTTGGACCATATGTGGACTTATTAGTAAATAAATTTTTTGTCTGGATTTCTTTATAAATAAGTACCCATTGATGGGCATATTTGTAATGAACCCTAATAAATACGACTTTTTGAATATTCAACTATTATATTGCATCTTCATAAAAAATTGTGTTACTTCAAAAATTGATTGATATAGTATTTTTTATTTAGAATTTTTAATTCCACAATCTAAATATATCTGTATTTAATATTACATAATAATCAAGAATAAAATTATGTTTAGTCAATACAATCTTATCAATCACATCATTGCAACCACTATCATTCTTGTAAAAATAATTTAATCTTACTTAGTTTATGAGTTGGGTTATATGCAATGTTGGAAGTATTTTTTATTTTTTTTTTGTTTTTCAATGATTCCCCAAAACAAAATTGTATTTATTAAACTTTTCAAATCATTTTCTCAAAATAATTTCAAAGGTTTCTCTCTCATTCAGATATGATGTGACTGCTACAAGAAAATGATTTGACTGCTACAGTAAAATATGTATTCAGTAAAAAACAGATAAACATCACTTCGTTTTTCAATTTTTTTCTTCTAAAATATTTTTTTCTAACACCTTTAAACATGATTTGACTACTACGGTGTATTTTGTCTCCTTCCATAATATAAACAAACATTACTATAATTCTCAAATTATTTCCCCAAATCATATTTCCTCAAAATGAAATGAAAATAAGTTTCAAAACGCTTCCAAACATTGCTATTTATTTGTTTATTATTTATTTTATATAGGGTAACGAAATAATTTTTAGAGCATCTCCCACCGGTTTCACCAAATCCCATTTTTTGTGGTCGAAAAAGGGGTTCATCTCCCATCGGTAGCACACCATTTTACCCTTCCACTATTTTTGGAGTAAAAATTGTGTTTTTGGTGTCCCATGCATTTCACCAAAATTTAGACCAAATAATAAATAATAATAATATTTCACTATTTTATCACTTATAGGCAATGGGATTGGGTTTGGTGTCCCATAGCATTTCCCCACATACATCACAAAACTGTAAATTTAATGTTTATCATATTTTTAGTATATTTACTTCATAAATATTAATTATATATCAAATTTAAAGTAATAATTATTTTTAACTATACAATTTAAAAATTATATTATCTATTTTATAAAACTATCGAAACATAAAATAAAACCATAAATCAAATTTGATATCGAATTTGAGTTTAAAATTAGTATTATTAGTATGGGCGAATGACGAAAAGGCCCATCACATGGGACTTAAATACATTTTGGTTAACAAAAAAAACAGTCTCTCAATTACACCCATCCCCATGTCTTTCGTCTAAAATACCCTCCTAATATAATTCTTATCAATTCCATCCATTATGCTCTAACTTCCTTAATATTACACATTGACCCCGGATTTAAACAAATATATCACATTAACCCCAAAACATTTTCTTTTTCAAAAAAAAAAAAAATTTCTGAATATTTTTTTTCCGGCCAGATTCCGGCGTTGACTTTTTTATTTTTTTTAAACTTTTTTTTCGTGAATTTTTTTTCCGGCCGGTCAACCACCGTTGACCGCCGGTCTCCGGCTTTGATTTTTTTTTTTTGAATTTTTTTTTTCTTAGAAAAAAAATATTTTAATTAATATTACTGTCTTGGCTAATAAATTACTAATGTAGCAGCCAATGCAGTAATATTAATTAAAATAATTTTTTTTAAGAAAAAATTAAAAAAAAAAGTCAATTAACAGTTAAATTACTGTCTCCGACAATTAAATAACTGCTGGAGACAGTAATTTAGCAACAAATACAATAATATTAATTAAAAAAAAATTTTAAATAAAAAAGTCAATTAACAGTTAAATTACTGTCTCCGACAGTTAAATAGCTGCTGAAGACAGTAATTTAGCAACGAATACAGCTGGAGACAGTAATTTAGCAACGAATACAGTAATATTAGTTAAAAAATTTTTTTTTAAGAATAAAAAGGTCAATTAACAGTTAAATTACTGTCTCCGATAGTTAAATAACTACTGGAGACAGTAATTTAGCAACGAATACAATAATATTAATTAAAATATTTTGAAGAAAAAAAAAAGTCAATTTACAGTTAAATTACTGTCTCTGGCAGTTAAATTTAACTGCCGGAGACAGTAATTTAGCAGCCAAGACAGTAATATTAGTTAAAATATTTTTTTTAAGAAAAAACAAAATTATAAAAAAAAAAAAAAAAAAGTCAACGCCGGAGACCCGGCGGTCAACGGCGACCGACCGGAAAAAAATTTCAAGAAAAAAAAAATTTCAAAAAAAAAAAAAGTCAACGCCGGTCAACGGCGGCGACCGGCGGTCTCCGGTGGTGGCGGGTCAAAGTTGGGGTCAAAATTGAAATTATGGTTAAAATTGGTTAATTGATATTATGGTTAAAATTGAAGTAATGTGACCCTTTTACCCTTAATGGGCAGTTTTTTTTAGAATAAGTCACGATATGCTCATTTGGTTCTCTCTTCTCACCCAAACCCTAACCATTCTCTCCACCCATATCCCTTCCGCCGCAGAGCTCAGAGCCTCCTTCCTCATAGCCTCCACCGCCGCTCCCGACGGGGCTTCCGTCGTTGCCGCCGTTGAAGTCTCTCCTGCCGCCCTCGTCGCGGTTGTGCTTCTGGCCGTTCATGTTCTCGTCAGTTGCTTTTTCTCTCGCTATTTACTTCTTGCAGGCCTGCCCCACTGCTACTGATGTTTAAAAATTAAGCGTAAGCCACCATTCATTCACCTAATTAATTAATTAATTAACCTGATATATATATAATTAAATAAAAGGACTTCTCTCTCATCAAATAGGAAGAACATATGGAAATTGCTATGGCGAGCGAATAGAGAGACAGAAACAGGGGAGGCAGAATTGAGCTGGGATGATTACAAGAAAATGGACTTCACACAATGTGTAAGCTTTTTAATTCCTACTAATTATATTCAAATAATTGTTGTAAATGGCAAATTACCAGGCCCCACTATTAATGTGACAACCGACAACCATCTTGTTGTCAATGTGAGAAAAAAATTAGATGAAAACCTCCTACTCTACTGGTATATATGATTTTATTTTATGTTTATTTCAATTTTTTTTAATCGTTATAAAAATATTGGATTTGGTTTTGGGATGAATTGGATCTGGAATAAAGCAGAGTTCGAGTTCATAGCAATACGGGGTACTTGGAACAAATTGCCCCATCCATCCAAAGTGTAATATATAGTAACATACAATAACATGTAGTAACATATGCATGTGAATGTGTATTTTCGATATGAATTTTCTTGGTTATCTGTTGATTTATAATGCAAATATTTAAACTAAACTTGATTTTTTGTCATAGGTCTTGATGTTTGAACAACTTCTATGCACTTCGTTTTTGCCCAGAGGCCATGGAGTTCATCAATTCAAAACAATTTATTAGGCAGAGAAATAATAAAGAAGAGTTTTCTTACGTTTAGTAAACAAATCTTATGATACTCAAGAGATCGTATCAGTCTTTTATTATGTTCCTTTATATGATAATTTATAGGGGCTATTAGTGAGTACACCCTCTTTAATATTATTTTAATAGGGATGAGTCCAGCTCCTTTTCCTTTATTAGTGAGAAACTCATTCTTTTTTTATTCTCAAATTTACCCTCCCACTATTCACTGTCCATTATCCACTAGTTTGATGTATTTATTTATTTTTTATATTTTAATTTTAATTTTAATTTTTTATTTATTTATTCTTTAAAAAATAATATTTAAAAAAAAAAATATATTTTTTTTTATTTTTTTCATATTTTCCTTTAAATATTCCTTTTATATATATTATTTTAGTTTTCAGTAAAAACAACTATATGCCAATAAAATAATTATTATTAAAAGGACTATTATTAAAACGACTATTATTAAAACAACGATAAATTACACCCACACCCCTGAGGTATGCTTAAATAACTATAAGGTCCTTGTGGTATCGATAATTACACTCACCCCCTTGAAACGTAGTTATCAACTCTAATGTGATAATGCATTGGATAAGTTATTACTAGGGGCGGAAATCGGACGGATCGGATCGGATTTGGGTGTTTCGGAAAATTTTCGATTTTTTTCGGAAGTCCAAAATGCCTTCCAATTCCGATTCCGATTTTTTCAGAATTCAAAAATTGATTCCGATTCCGATTTTTCGGAATTTTCGGAAAATCGGAATTTTTCGGAAATCTTCATTTTCGGAATTTTTCGGAATTTTTTCGGAATTTTCCCATAAAAAAAAAAGAGGAAAACTATAATATATATTATAGTTTTGTGATCCAGCATAATCTGGTGCTCCATAATGTCACCATACGAAGAGAAGTACTTCCCTCAAAAAAATATTAGTAATATACTAATATATATTACTAGTAATTAGTACAGACTGCAGATAGATATAGACATATAGTATATATTATATATAGTAATAAATATTAATAATAATTGGAAAAATTGGAATAAATCGGAAATAATCGGAATAATTTTGGATCGGAAATCGGAGATTCCGAAATTCTGTTATGTATTTCCGATTCCGATCCGATTTTTTTCGGAATTTTCGGAAATCGGAATTTCGGAATTCTGATTTGAAAAAGTCGTTCCAAAATCGGAATATTTCGGATCGGATTCGGCGGAAATCGGAATTTTCGTTCCAATTTCCACACCTAGTTATTACGATAGAGTTCTAACGGACTATTGGTTTCAGGAAGTGGTGGAGACAACAAAGAGTAAATAGTGATTTAAGAAATATTGGGGGAGCCATGTCACCCCATAACTCCCCATGACTCTATGTTATCTCCACCACTAGCTAAAAGTAATAGTCCATTAGAACCCTATCGAAATAATGTATCCAATGCATTATCCCGTTAGAATTTCTAACTACGTTTCAGGGGTGAGTGTAATTATCGATACCATAGGGACCTTAAAATTATTTAAGCATACATCAGGGGTGTGGATGTAATTTACGCTTAAAACAATTGGTATTAAAACAATGATACATCAGTTTCACAATTTATTAAATTAATTATATATTATATTATTTCTATTGTAAGATTAACTAATTATTTAATCAAAACATCTTCAAAACAACTATTTGTTAAATCAACTATTTATTCAAACCAACTAAAAAGTAATGAAAACAATAATTTGTTGTACAAAAACAACTATATTGCTATACCAAAACAACTATGTTGAATCAACTACAAATTATTGAAATCCACAAAAGCAAAATAAAAAAAAACACACCAAAATTCCAACAAAAACGACTATTATTGAAACCAACTATAACCGTAACGAAAATAACTATATCCTTTTGAGTAACACGAACACAATTTCAACAAATGAGCCTCCCAAACAATACCTCCTCCTCGATGTCAATCTATTCCATTACAGCGGTGGTGGAGGCGGTCTTCCGACGATGATTGCAGGAATGCTTCCAAAAATCGAAAGAACAAAAAAAAAAAGAAAAAAAAACACCAACAGATCTGCTCATCCCTCAGAAAGGAAGGGGGGAGACCGGAAGGCCGTCGTCCATCCTAGATTCGGCGGCGTCGCCTTGTCGTTGTCGAGATCTGGAGTCGGCTTCCTCCTCTCCTTGCCCCACATCCGTCGGATTCCCAAAGAAAGAAGAGAAAGGGGTCTTCCTCGTCGTTGTTGAGATGTAGCGCCGCCTTCGTCACCTTCACCGCTGCCGCCATCGCAATCGATACTACTGAGTTTCGGTTCCAGAAAAGAAGAGAAGATGTGATGGGGGTTTGAGAACGGCAATTTGTGGGGATTTGAGAACGACGGTTTGTTGCAGATAATATGGCTAGGGTTTGTAAATATAAGATTTGGAAATTAAGGATAATATAGGTATAACACTTAATAATTGTATTAATATTAATTTAATTAAATAATTAAGGGGTTCTCACTAATAATAAAAATGAGGTTATATCCACCTTGATTAGGGGTGCAAGTTGGAACGGATTTTCCAATTTCCGCCGGTTCCGATCCGAAAAGTTCCGATTTTGGAACAACTTTTTTCATTCCGACATCCGAAATTCCGATTTCCGAAATTTTCCGATTTTTTTGGATTGGAATTGGAATTATATAAAATAAATTTGTAATTTCCGATTTCCGATCCGATTTAATTCCGAAAAATTCCGATTTTTTTCCGAAAAATACACCTATAAATAGTATATATTATATAATACTTATTTTCCGAAAAATACACCTATAAGTTTTGTTTTAGGATTTTGACATAATGAATTGTTGTTAGAAGTTTTATTGGATATTATGCTGTGTTTATTTTTATTTATTTTTTTGAACTGAAATTTAGTAGTTATTAGTTATACTTTTATCGACGTGGATGCACTTATTTTCGAAAAGTTATGAACATTTTAGAAAATTTCGGCTAAGTTTTGAAATTTTAAAGCTTATGTGATTTCCGATTTTTTTCCGAAATTCCGAAATTTCCGGGCCTTTTGGAATTGGAATGAATTTTTAGATTCCGAAAATTTTGGAATTGGAATTGGAATTGATTTTGTACTTCCGAAATTTTTCGGAAATTTTCTGAAAAGGCTAATTCCGATCCGATCCATCCGACTTTCACCCCTAACCTTGATATAAGTAAATGAATTGGGGTTTTTTTACTAATTATCCCTAATTTATATTAATAAATTCAAGTCAAAATTTCTATATTTTAATAAATTAATTATATTCACTGTGGCAAAAATACCTTTAATAAAGTCAAAATTAAATCCCAAAAAAGTCTCTATGAAAACAAAATTCCCCAACCAACTCTCTTCCAAATTTAACAAAAAAAAAAAAAATTAATTTGTAAAAAAAATATATTTTATTGTACAAACTCGTACTCTAAAATTAATTTGTAAAAAAAATTAATTTGTCGCGCCACCGCCGCTGGCTCCGTAAACTGCAAATAGCAAACTGAAAATTAGATTTTATTACTGAGTTCTCGATCAACAAACTACCTATGATTTCGGCAAATACAAACAGTAAAGTGAATAAAAAACTCCAATATCTGCATTATTGAATTGCAAACGACATACTACCTAGATTTTTGCCAAAATGTAAACAACAAACTAAAGAAAATAAATCGACGAAATTTGCATTATTGAGTTGCAAACAACAAACTAGCAAAACAACAAATTGAAGAAAAAAATCAGCATCATTAAAAACATCAACAAAATAATTGTTTATGAAACACTTTGCAAACAGCAAAAACATTAAAAACTGTTTGCAAAATGTAATTTAAAACATACAATGCAAATTGTAAACCATGAGGGATCAAATCTCAACACCAAACATAATTCTTCAAACAACAAACGAAGTTAACCCAACCTGCAAAGAAAAATTGCTAACAACAAAAGATGGAAAGGTTCTACATAATGCGAATTTTGACTAGGATTTTTTATTTCTAAATCATTTTTTTTTTCCTTTGGGAGAGGTGGGAGGGTGATGTTTGTTCTCCACTCTTAACTCTTCACAAAGAAATCATCTCATAAAATAAAAAGCTCCCATAATTTTTCATAAGTTATTTTTATCTAGAATGTCTTTTTTTTCAATTTTTTAAATTATCCTCGTGCATCGCACAAGTGAAATACTAGTATTACTCTATTACACAATAATAGTAATTTTTGTTGTGTTAATATTTATTGTAATAAAGAATAATATGGCAATATTACTGTGTAAAACTATAGTATAGTTAATATTACTACGTTGAATAGTAATATAATTAATATGACTGTCAACTACAGCAATATTGATGTTTAAATGGGGCAAAAAGATGTTAAAGTAAAAAAATAATTCAAATTTTTTTTTGAAAAAGTCAACGGAAACTGGCGGGAAAATCAGGAGAAAAAAAATCAACGCGTTGACCGCCAGTCAACGGCGGCAACGGGCGAATTTCTACTCAAAATTGAATAATTTATGAAATTTGGGTCAAATTGAGGTTAAATTAAATTAAATGATGAAATTAGAGCATATTAAAATGTGAGGGTATTTTAGTTTTTTACACATTTCTGAACAATGTGTGAACTTTTTGTAAAAGAGTTTTTTTGTCTACATCACATTATAAATAAGTATACCGGGATAATTACAGTTTTGGTCCCCCAAATTTGCATGTTTTTCACTTTTGGTCCCCCATTTACCGCCGTCAACAAAATACACACTAATGTAGTCACATTTTAACACATTTAGTCCCTCCGTTTGTTTGACCGTCAAGAAGTAACGGTCAACTATTGAATTAGGGTTGAATTTGAGAATTTTCGTTGAGAAAATTGCACTCAGACTCCTGCATTCTTTTAAAATATTCTAAAAACCCCTAACATATTTTTCAACTGTAACCCCAATTTCATCATTTAATCAAATTTGACAAACGACCCCCATTTTTACCACCATTACCGCTGACCGTTGACCGCCGTTGATTTTTTTTTTTTTTTTTTTTTACTTTTTGTTTCGGCAATGATTTTTTTTATTAATACTGTTTTTGACGCCATTCACCGAGATTGTATTTTCGGTTAACAATGTTGATTTTTTTTGAACTTTTTCATGTGACTTTTTTTTTCGATCTACACAATATTATTATTGTATAACACAATAATAATATTATATTAATATCTAATATCGTAATATTAAAATTACAAACTTCTAACAAAGTTTTTATTAAAAAATTCTAAAATCCATAATTTCTCCCCTTCATTTTTTTTCGTGGAACCGCCAGTGCATCCCAAATTTCTTCCCAAAAAAATATGAAGAAGATGAATCAGGCATGTGCGGAGTAATTTGGAAATGACATAACCACTCTAGTACCACGGTTTTTAGGGCTAACATCGGCCGATAATTATTATCCTTTTTTATTTGTCTTAAAAAATTTCCGTCATTGAGCTGCGTTGACGTTTTCCTTTTTTCTTTTATTTTGACTTCTTTTATGATATTATTTTTATTGCCGATTATCATCTTTGAATTTCTTTTTCAAATTATATTTTTCCCACTACTCAACAATTTAAATAAAAATCAAGAAAAAAAATGTCAACATTGTTAACCCGACATTCAACATTGGTCAACAGCGGCAAAAAAAGATCAATCGAAAAAGAGTCAACAGAGTTAAAAAGAAAGTCAACATCGGATTACCTGATTTTGAAAAATCGGAGTCATTGGTTAAAATTGGTTAATTGATGAAATTGGGGTTAAATTATGGTTGGATAAAATTTTAGGGGTTTTAGAATATTTTAAAAGAATACAGGGGTCTCATTGCAATTTTCTCAAAGAAAAACACCAAATGTAACCATAATTCAACCGTTGACCCTTAGTTCTTAACAGACAAATAGACGAAGGGACTAAATGTATTAAAATGTAACAACATTAATGTGTATTTTGTTGACGGCGGTAAATAAGTATATAATGGACTTATTTGTTGTAATCAACCGTTTTTTTAGGTGGGAAAAGGAAAAAGGCTCCACTACTCTTCAAAATTGGCGGAAAGCCGCTTCAGTTTCAGACCTCAAATGATTATTCCAAAATTGATTCACCCTTTGAACTGAGTAACTTACTTCCGTATCGGTTTCTACTTCTTCTTCTTCGTTTTCCATTTCTGTAATGGCGATAATGGAACGAGATAGGAGAAGCCGCCAGAAGCAAAACACTGTCCCGATTGACAGGCTTAGCGATTTGCCGGACTCAATTCTGACTCACATCCTCTCTTTTCTCCCGACCAAATTCTCAGTAAGAACCAGCATTCTGGGTCAAAGATGGAGGTTTCCCTGGGCTTACGTCTCCAATTTAATTTTCCGCGACGATAGTCAAAAATCCATAAATAGGGTTTTACTGCTTCGTAAAATGCAAAAAGTTAATACCTTTTGCCTCAGTGATGACGACGACCGTTACCGTTACATCAATAAAGAAAACGGAGCTCAATGCAAGAAATATCAAATCGATACTGATACATGGATTACCTTGGCCGTTGAGCGCAATGTGCAAATACTCCATCTTTGTTATAGTTCTTGGCGAGATGAAGATTTTTTACTTGGTTTACCTGGATGCCTCTTCACTTGCAAAACCCTAGTTCATTTGAAGCTGGAATCCTGCGGTATAATCCCCGTGAGAGTTGCCGTATGTTTCCCTCGACTCGAGAAGCTTCATCTATTGTATGTTCAATATGAAGCCGACGAGTCACTACCCAACCTGCTTTCCGGTTGCCCTGTTCTTGAGGATATGGAAGTTTTTGCTTTTGTTGTTCTTAATATCAGCCTCGTGAAGAAACAAAAGGATGGAAGGAACCACCACAACAAGTGCCTGCGTGTCTTTTATCGCATCTTAGAATCATAAAGCTTCCCAACATCGGAGGTGAAAAGCACGAGTTTGAAATTATAAAATATCTATTGAGGAATGCTAATGTCTTGGAGAGGATGGAAATATCATATCCCGGTTCCCTTAGTTCCAACGAAGAAAATAATATGCTAAAGAAGATCTCACTTTTTCAACGCGGATCCAAAGCATGTAAAGTTGCCTTTGGTGCTGCCTGAAAGTACCTTGACGCACTTTTTCTTCATAATTGCTTTACGCACTTATCTCTGTTTTGTTATGACCTACAAAACTCTCATCTTTACTTCAGTTTTTTTGTAACTGCAATGTGATAAAAACAAACATATAGTTTTTGTAATTGCGGGAAGAAAGATGAGTATGTTTTTGTCAAGAAGATTGTCTATGAAGAGCTCCTATACTACTAGTTACGTTGTTATTTCCACTTTAGGCACAAGTCTTCATTTCTTTGTTGAAGTATTAATTTTGATTGCACTTTTCCTTGAATACGCATCAATCGTTCTGGGGTTTGCGTTGTCCAGGATTTCGGCATTGATCTATTTTAATTTTTATGTACATCGCCTATAAAAGTCGCTATAAATCATTACCTATAAACTTATGCTATGGAAATTGACATGAAATTGAGTTCAGATAGCTGCTATAAATCCAACTATTTAATTAATTGTGACTACTAGTTTTACTACCAATCAACGAGGTCGAGTAGTATTAAATTCCTTGAAATTTGTTGTCGTTCCACATTGATGGAATTTTTTTGATTCAATCAATAATATTCACCAAAAATACCCATTTTACACTCGCGAGTAATTGTAGTAACGTTGTTTCACGAGGGGGAGTCCTTGTCATATTTTGTTTAATAAAAATAGGGTAAATTACAAACACCCCCCTGCGGTATGGTCAAATTACAAAAACACCCCTCTTGTTTGGATAATTACAACCACCCCCTCAACTCCTCAAATTTAGTGGAATCTTCGAGATTATATGGAATATTATCACTTTTGTACCCGTTTTATCCCATTCAAACTCTACATTATTAAGCAAGATGATCATAATATGTGATTTTTAACTTGTATATATATCAGTTTGTGGTGCATCGAAAACTGTATTTTTACACAAAACGAGTACAAACTAGAGCACATTTCGCGGAATCTAGACGACTATGTTGAATTTGGCACCATAAGGGTGGAGGTGTAAGAAAAAATCATAGCTGAGGGGGGTAGATGTAATTATCCAAACAAGGGGGGGTTTTTTGTAATTTGACCATACCTCAGGGGGGTGTTTGTAATTTACCCATAAAAATATAATCATTTTGCACCAATCCTTTTTTTAGAAGTTTTATTGTACTTCTGAAGTTTTGATTCACCAGTCATTATTTTTTTTTATGGGTTCCCCTAGTAGTTCTTTCAAATTAGTGATTAAAACTAGAGTGAATTGCATATAACCCATGAATGAGAACTTAAATGCATTCTCATATTTTTTTCTAAAATATCTTTTATTATTATAATATATATTTTATACTTGTGGACTAAGTTTTCCAAGACACGCGTCATCACCATCAATGGGATGAGTTAGCATTTTTGGTGACTATGCTTGTAATTCTCGTGTATATATATATGTGTTTCCAGACAATGGAATAGACAGACCAATTTCGTCAACATACTACTTTTGTGTTATTTCCTCTATTCACTAATATTACAATAAAACTCTTCTCTCTCCCTCAGTTACAGTTCATCTTTATTTTCAATACACAATACATATATTCTTAGTTTGTCTTCTATTAATATATAATATAATTTTATTCTATAACACGTTATCAGCACGAGGTTTTGCTCGATAGAGATTTGCTATTTTCTTATTCTTCTTTCTATTTTATTTTACGAAAATCCAGATCCTCGATCTATTGTCGAAAAGACAAACAAGAATGATTAGCGAATACTTCGGTATTTTATACGCTATCATTTCTGAAAGGATATGATGGATTCGTGTATATACGTATATAGCTCATATACTAGTTGAATTGCTGCTGAATTTTATATTTGCAAGTAAATGAAATATAGCTCCGAGCCTAAGCTCGTTGAGACAAGAAAGCCGATTTAGAGGCTAAGTCGTTAATATAACTCCGAACCTGAAGCTCGTTGAGTCAAGGCGTGGTAATATCCATCAAAAGTCGATTTAAGGCCAAATATCTGAAAATAGCTCCGAGTCTGAAGCTCGTAGAGTAACTAGACGAGATAAAACCCGTTAAGAGCCAACTTAGAGGCTATTAATGACAAGTCCAAATTTAAGGGTTTTTGGGTTATTTTGTAGTTGTACCTGCTGTATAAATCTCTCTTGGAAGGTGTGATTCCCAAGATTGAGTCGTTTTGAATAAACCCACATGTACATATCTCCCTTGGAGGATAAATACCCGAGGTCGAGCTGAATTTTGATCACGAGTACATGAAAAATTTGGACAAATATGACTATTGCCTACTTGATAGTGCAACTACACACTCAATATCAATAATAAAATATATTTCTCGAGTGTGACTTTGTGCAAGGCACAAGTTAAAACCATAGCAGGTTCCGCGGAAATAATAGATGGCTCCGGAACGCAAAAATTGTGTTGCCTAATGGTACCACTTTGCATATTGAAAATGCACTGATATCCGGTAGATCGAACAAGAATCTACTGAGTTTTAAAGATATGAGATACAATGGTTATCATTTAGAGACACTAGTTGAAAATACCGTGGAGTGTCTACGCGTCACATCATATGTCATGGACAAAAGAATTGTTCATGAGAAGTTCGAAGCGACAGCTTCTGGACTGTATTGTGTCAAAATTCGAGCTTTCGAATCCTACGCCACTATGCCATAGAAACTTGTTAATCCCGATATACACGGGTTAAGGCATGATCAACTGGGTCACCCAGGAATGATTATGAGGCGTAGGTTGCACAATATACTAAAGGACATCCATTAAAAGATACAAAAATCTTGATGCCCAATAAATATTTATGTGAATCATGTTCACAAGGAAAGCTCATTATAAAACCTTTCATTGAAAATGTCGGTTATGAATTACCATCATTTTTACAACGCATTCATGGAGATATTTGTGGATCAATACGCCCTGCAAGTGGGCCATTTAGATATTATGGTTTTAGTAGACACATCTTGTAATGGTCCCACGTATGCTTATTATCTACGCAAAATGTTGCATTTGCGCGTTTGCTAGCACAAATTATTAAACTCCGAGCACATTTCCCTGATTATCCCATAAAAAATTATAAGAATGGATGATGCCGGAGAATTTACATCAAAAAGTTTTGATGAGTATTGTGCAGCACTGGGAATAAATGTCGAGCACCCAGTAGCATACATTTACACTCAGAATGGACTGGTAGAATCTCTGATTAAATGCGTCCAAATAATTGCTCGTACTTTGCTGATGAGATCTAAACTCACTAGTGCAACATGGGGTCATGCAGTATTGCATGCATCAACACTGATTAAATTACGCCCCATTGCCTATCATATGCATTCCCCAATGCAATTGTCCTTGGGCTTTGAGCTCGATATTTCGCACCTTCGCACATTTGGTTGCAGTGTGCAAGTGCTAATTCCTTCTCCTAAGAGGAGTAAAATGGGTCCCCCAACGCCGACTTGGCATATGCCTTGGGTTTGATTCACCGTCAATTATTAGGTTCTTGGAACCAATGACGGGTGATTTATTTACCGCTAGATTTGCGGATTGTCATTTCGATGAGACATTATTTATACCGATTGGTAAGGATATTCAGAATATCCGTGATAATGATAAACAAAAACCAATCGAGAATCTCACATGGTGTGAGCAACATTTATCTCATCTCGACCCACGTACCTCTTAATGTGAAAATGAGATCCATAGAATCATTCATTTACAAAATATTGCCATTAGACTTCCTGATGCATTTCATGATGTCAGTAAAGTCACGAAGTCTTATATTCCAGCTGTGAATGTGTCAGCTAGGATCGCTGTTCCTGAAGAACATGCGAAAATGAATGATGATCCCCCACGACAAAAACGGGGTAGACCTATTGGATCAAATGTCATTATTTCTAGAAAAAGAAAGGGGAAAATCAATGAACCCTCAAATGAGGTGATTCCTAGTGAGAATGCTCCAAAAGAATCTGTTGAGCCTGATATCGAAAAAGAGATATCCAATCCTGGGAATACCGAGAATCCCATAAGTTATTGCAATGAAATATGGGATATAAATGAGATAATCATCGATAATATTTTTGCATTCTCGGTTGCACAAGAAATAATGTACGATGATTATGATAGTGAACCGCGTTCCATAATGGAATGCCGCCGAAGAAATGATTGGCCTAAATGGGAGGAAACAATTAAATCTGAATTAGCTTCCCTAGAAAAATGGAAAGTATTCGGGCAAATTGTTCAAACTCCGGATAATGTAAAGCCCGTTGGGTATAAATGGGTATTTGTCCACAGGAGGTATGAGAACAACGAAATTGTACGATATAAAGCCCGCCTTGTTGCTCAAGGCTTCTCCCTGCGATCTGTGACTGATTATGATGAGACGTATTCAGCAGTGATGAATATGATCACTTTCCGTTTTCTTTTCAATATGGTCATCCAAGAGGGACTGGACCTACGTCTAATGGACGTTGTAACAGCCTATCTATATGGTTCACTAGATTCTAATATTTATATGAAAATTCCCGATGGATTTAAAATGCCAAACTCTGGCGCTCCTCGTGAGCTGCACTCAGTCAAATTACAGAGATCATTGTATGGTCTTAAGCAATCCGGTCGCATGTGGTATCACAGATTGAGTGAGTACTTTATCAGGGAAGGTTATAAAAATGATCCTATTTTCCCATGCGTTTTTATTAAACGATCAGAAATCGGATTTGCTATTATTGTTCTTTATGTAGATGACATGAACCTCATTGGTACTCCTGAAGAGTTGGCCAATGCTACTGAATATTTAAAGAAAGAGTTTGAGGTCAAGGAC